TAGGCGTGCTCGCGGTGCTCGGCGTGCTGCGCGTCGCGCCCCCTCCCCGTTGCGTCCTTATTTATGGCACCGGGCCTCGGCCGTCCTGAGTGTCCTGGACCCGTATCAGTTTCATCTGGACGTGTCCGGGACCGACTGGCACTCCGGCACTCCGGTCGTCCAGGACGGCGACGACGCCGCACAGTGGGCCAGAAGAGCGGCGCCCCCGGCCAAAACTCTGGACGCGTTTTGAGCTCCAGAGTCGCTAAATGAGACTCGAGCCGTGCGTGTGACCCCACCAATGGACTGCTCTCCGAACGAGGAATCAATCCATTGGTGGGGTCACACGTTCGGTTCGAGTCCTGTTCAGCGACTCTGGAGCTCAAAACGCGTCTAGAGTTTTGGCCGCCTCCACCGGTCTTCTGGCCCACTGTGCGCCGACGACACCGACCCCCGCAGGAATGCCCCCACCGCCGCCACAGCCAGGTTCAACGTTCAACGGCGCGTTCGCAGAGCACGCCGACCAGGCCGTCGGCCAGGCCGTCGGCCAGGCCGTCGGCCAGGCCGTCGGCCAGGTGACAGCAGAATGTCGGGGCAACAAGAAAAAGCGTGCCGCCACGGTGTTGTCGCCACCGCTGTCACCGAGGGCGCGAACGCGGCGAACGCGGCGCGAACATGCCTCACGCATTACAATCAATTCCCCGGGCAGAGACAACGGCGCGCTGTCGCCGCGCCGCGCCGCGCCCCGCCGAGGAGACACACTCACACACAAACACGACTGGCTGTTCGCTGTCCGGTCGCATCGGCCAGCCGGCAGCACACTAGACAAACCGACGCAGAAGCTCTGGGTCAGCAGCCCTGACACTTACTCCTCGACGCCGTGGCCGTGTGCGCTAAGGCGCCGCCCCGCAACATTTTTCGCCGGGTTCAAGTCCCCGAACTAAAATTTATTTCTTCCGCGTTTCGACACTACACCCGAATGAGACATCGCGCCGCCACCGCAAAAAAAAACAACCAAAACAAAAACAGCGCGCTGAACATGACGACACGGCGCCTGCGATTGATGCGGTTCCGAGGGGCATAAATCCAGGGGACAGGGCCTTGATTCACGAGGCGCTCGCTCCGTCTCTCTCGCACACACGGGGAGGCCAGGGTAGGTGCGAGAGAGACGGAGCGACGAAAACGACACTCGGAATCAGTCCGCCTGCAGGATGACTCAGGCCAGGAATTTGGAGTGAGAAGAGAATCCACGGTGAGGACCTGCACACACGCACAAGCACACACACACCCACACGCGCGCGGGCCCACGTGTGTGAGTGTGTCGCGCCCCGCCTCGGAAATGAGTGTTGAAGTGTTTGGCTTTGGTTTGCCGCTCGGCTGCACTTTAAGAGGATATGGTACACCTCCCCAGAAGCGGCATTTCCAGGGACGCGCAGGGACCTCTTTCTAACGCCGTCCTGGCCACACCGTTCGAGGTATCGATATGGAACTTGGCACACGGGCTCAGAAGGGATCAATCTCAATGACGGTGCGTTCAAAAAAATTTTTGAACGCCTAAGTTAGGCCCCAGGGCAGTTCAGTTCTGGTCCAACTTTCGTTCACAACATATCCTGAGAAAATGGGAATATCGAAAAAAGGGCGATGGTACGTTCTAGATTGACATTTACTCTTTCCGGAGATGTTATCCCCTTTCCTGTGCGTTCAAAATTAGAGGTCAAAACCCGGTAGACCGCAGACCTCTGCACGGCGACTTTCGGTGATTCCGGAGCCGGTCAAAGAGAGGAAGTGCAATGTAACTGTCGACGAGCTGTACCGGCCCCAGACTCCGCACATGTTGTCGCCGACTTTGTTTCACTGAATAGGGACTGCCTGGGCACAGCCTGGCCCGCCACCCTCGCCCAAGGATCGGCACCGTGACAGGTCAATTTATGGCCCCGTGCCTAAATAGTTAAATTTTTCAGCGGTTCATTTTGGAGTTGTGAAACTTGCTCAGATGGATTCAACGGGCCATTGCGGTGTCAGGCGACTAAAGATTCAAGTTCTTGCGACTATTTTGACCTAGGCTGTCCCGAACGTAATCAAGTCCGGTGGCGGGGCTAGTACTGGAGAGCTAAGGTCAAAATGGTCGTAGAACTTTATTTTTGAGTTGCCTGAAACCACAATCGTGCGCTGGACCCCATTCGCCAAATCCTAAAACTCTAAAATAATCCGTTCAAAAATTTAACTGCCGGGGTCTGGGGCCCATAAATCGGCCTGTCACGCTGCCGACCCTTCGACTCATCGGCTCCGGCGCGTGAATGAGGCGGGGGGGGGGCGGCAGGGGGCCCGGTGCAGAGACAAAGCAGAGGCTGCATGCAGGCAGCCAGGAGGGGCAGGGGCGGGGCAGCTGGGGTCAGCATAGCCCGTCTACGACGTGCCTTTTCAAAACTCTGCGAGATGACAAAAATCACCGTGCAGAGGTCTGCGGTCTACCGGGTTTGGCCTCTAATTTTAGTCGCACAGGAACGGGGATATCATCACTGGAAAGAGCAAATGTCAATCTAGAACGTACCATCGCCCTTTTTCGATATTCCCATTTCTTAGGACGTGTGTGAACGAAAGTTGGACCAGAACTGGACTGCCCTGGGGCCTAACTTAGGCGTTCAAAAAAATTTTTGAACGCACCGTCATTGAGATTGATTCCTTCTGAGCCCGTGTGCCAAGTTTCATATCGATACCTCGAACGGTGTGGCCAGGACGGCGTTAGAAAGAGGTCCCTGCGCGTCCCTGGAAATGCCGCTTCGGGGAGGTGTACCATATCTCTAAGGACGCGACACTGTTGGAGCGGCGCAAATTCGTCCAAAACAAAGAGAGAGAGAGGGGAGGAGAGAGAGAGAGAAGAGAGAGAGAGAGAGAGAGAGAGAGAGAGAGAGAGAGGAAAGAGGGGAGAGAGAGAGAGAGGGAGAGAGAGAGAGAGAGAGAGAGGGAGAGAGAGAGGGGAGAGAGGAGAAGAGAGGAGAGAGAGAGAGAGAGGAAAGAGAGGCGCAGGGGGACGTCTTGGCGACGCCAACATATCATAGGCCCGGCGACGCGCGAGGAGTGCTTTGATTTCGGCCTGCCGCGTCTGTGTCTGTCTGTCTGTCTGCCCGTCCGTCCGTCCGTCTGCCTGTACCTTCAAAATAAAATCAACACGTTTAAAATTTTTGGGGAAACCTATCCGTCCGCCTGACGGCCTGAGGGCGGCCTGACAGTTTGCCTGCCGCAGCGCGGCAACAATTGGCCGCGTTCTTGTCGGAGAGGGTGTTCCGTTACAAAGTACACAGAGGGCGGGAGAGCGGGCAGGGCGGCACACTGTACTGCCAGGGCTGTGAGGCACACTGTGTCACAAGCCGGCAGCCACACAGGGGTATAATGATTCACTTTCGGAAACATGGAAATAAAGTAGCGAGGCGGGGCGAGGCGGCGGTTCCGCCGCGCCGCGCTCGCGGGGGGGGGGGGGGGGGGGGGCAAGAACCCCTTTCCGCCGACGCTGTTTTCCATTAAGCTGCCACTGCACTGCCAGCCGGGCGAAAAGCGATGGCGCCCCAGCACGGGCAGCGCCGGCAGCGGCGAGCCAAAGAGAGAGGAAGATGCACACGCCCGTCTCCGAACCGCCCTCCAGCTAGCCGCACGGGTAGCACGGCGGCTTTCGGAGCGCAGGTTCCTAAGTTCGAATCCCCGTATTTTTCTCGCTTTTCCCCCATGCGCTGGCTCGCTGTCGGAGTGCCCCGTCGTCTCGGCCGAGAGGAACGAGCAGGAGACAAGACGGGGCGCCCCAAAACGGAGCCACGTGTGGGAGGCTCTGGGCTCGGCCCCGGCTCGGCCCCGCCGGTCCGACAGTCATTTGTTTTCCCCGGCCGAGACTCGAACCCGGGCCTCTGGCGCGGCCTGCCTGGCCTGCCTGCCGGAGGGGCTGTCTACAGCGATTACAGTGAAGGCAGCCTCCTCAAATTCGATCCAGATGTGGGGGAAGGGCGTCGTCGGCGTCCTCGCGCACGCACGCACACTCGCACGCGCGGGAGCGTCGGCGCGGCGCCGGCCGGATGTCGTGCTTCAAGGACTTGAGGGGCTTCGGGACGAATTTCGGGGGACGTCGCCTAGGGCCGATCGGGCCCTACACCGGCTGGACCCCACAAGCCGCGTTTTTCGATCTGTGGACCTGCCGCCTCGCGCGCCCCCGCGGCCCCCGCGGCCCCCGCGGCCCCGAGGGGGTGGCTGCGCGGGCTGCGCCCCTCGAGGGGGATCAATGCGCTCGCCCCGCCCCGGCCGCGCTACACTGCACAGTGGGCCAGAGGACCGGAGAGGCGGCCAAAACTCTAGACGCGCTTTGAGCTCAAGAGTCGCTACATGGAACACGACCCGAACGTGTGACCCCACCAATGGATTCCTCGCTCGGAGAGCAATCCATTGGTGGAGTCACACCTTCGGTTCGAGTCCCATTTAGTGACTGGAGCTCAACACGTGTCGGCCCGACCGAGCGCCGCGCCGGGTAGGCAACCCGCCGGCACGGCAGCGGGCCGGTTGCCTACCTCCCAGGCGGCAGGGAGGTACGTTGCGGAGCTTGGCAGTGCACTGCCGGTGCACCTGCAGCGCTGGCTCCGCTTGCAAGACCGCCATCCTGCACACCGTTGTGTACGTACGTTCTGTACATTCGGACTCACGGCGATTTTTTCTCCTGCCAGCGGGGTCTCTCCCTCCGATACCCCTGGCGTTGCCTCGATCCCATTTGGCAAAGTCACGCGTCGGTGCCGCGGGGTGGGGCGGGGCGGGGCGGGGCGGCGCCGTGAGGATGAAAAATCGCGCAGCCTGCTCCAGCACCAACCCCGCGTGCTCGCGAGCGGCAGGCCGGCAGGCCCGCCCCCCACCACGCCTCTCCCGCGGCAGCCAATGGGCGGGCAGCACGGCCGCGGCGCGCTGCCATTGGCCCGCCCCCCACCAGCGAGGCCCCACCCCCACCAGGCCGGCCGGCCTAAGGTGTCCGCCTGCCTCCAGTGGCCGTCCAGACGCCGGTGGAAACGCGTCGCCGTCGCGAGTACCATGGCTTCATCGGGGACCCCGGCGTCCCCGCGCTAGGATAACCAATACTGTGATACAACCAAGACTAGTTCGAAACCCAAGTGATACAGTGCCGTGCGCGAGTGTGAGTGTGTGTGTGTGTGAGTGAAAGTGCCCTTTGGATTACCGCCGCTCTTGGATTGCCCTTTGGATACCTTGCCGCCGACCACCGTGCCGCCGCGCCCCGGGACCAGCATGCTCGTGCCGCAGGACATGATGGCCTCGCAATCCAAGCTGCTCTACCAAATCAACAAATACTACGGCGAGCGGGTGCAGACTCGCAAGGGCCACATCGCCAAGACGATACGAGAGGTGCGAAGCCGATGGCGAAGCCTTGCCACCCTCCTCCACCTCACACGGCCACGCAAAACCTCCACAGAAACTCTCACAACAAATACCGACAAATACCGCAGCAGGGGCAGACAGGCGTCGCAGGCTCCATTCCGGATTTCAGTCGCGGTTCGGCCGATTAAACCTCGCAGCCGAGCGTTTGGCGGCAGAAAAACGGCGCGAATCCCTCGCGCGTGGGAAAGCCCACACCGTAAAGCACAACCTCGGTCGTAAACCCGCAGACCCGTAAACCCTGCTCCAGACGTCCGCGCCACTATTAACCGGTGCAACATCGGGCCACGCGCGTGGGCGTGCCTCGGCGTGCCTGCACTGCAAGTGATTCAGAGCAGCGTGGTCTCTCTCGCACCGCCACAGCAAGCCGCCCGAGTGCGAGAGAGACAGAGCGTGGGGCGTACCCGCCACACTGCAGTGCTCCGGCCTCGCGACCCGTACACCACACAGTGGAGGCGGCCAAAAAACGCGTTTTGAGCTCCAGAGTCGCTTGGTGGGGTCACACGTTCGGTTCGAGTCCCATTTAGCGATTCTGGAGCTCAAAACGCGTCTAGGGTTTTGGCCGCCTCCACCGGTCTTCTGGCCCACTGTGCGTCGCCCCGCGCGGTGACCACCCAAACCGACGCCCCTTTTGCCACCCCGGCGTTGCGGACGCCGGGAACGCGGCGAAAAAACAAAGGAACTCGTCAATGACTCCATAACGCCGCCTAATTGGGGCTCGGGGGCCTCCGAGTCCGCGGGGGGCGGCCCCGCCGGCCCCGCCTGCCCTGCCATGGCTGCCCTGCCCGGCGGCAGGCCGGTTTATGTTGTTATTATGGCGATGCCGAATGTCAAAATCGATTCGGACCGACACACCGCCTCGCTGACTCCCCACGCACTCTCACACACACACACACACACACACACACACACACACACACACACACACACACACACACACACACACACACACACTCACACACACAGAAGCACAGGGTGCAAAATGGGCTCCGTGGCGCCGTGGCTGGCCTCCGTGCTCAGTCGTGTGGCGAGGCGCCGTCTGGGCTTACAGCCCCGGGCCCCGGCCAGCCCCGCACAGTGGGCCAGAAGACCGGTGGAGGCGGCCAAAACTCTAGACGCGTTTTGAGCTCCAGAGTCGCTTAATGGGACTCGAACCGAACGTGTGACCCCACCAATGGATTGCCCTCCGGACGAGGAATCCGTTGGTGGGGTCACACGTCCGGTTCGAGTCCTGTTTAGCGACTCTAGAGCTCAAAACGCGTCTGGAGTTTTGGCCGCCTCCACCGGTCTTCTGGCCCACTGTGCCCCGGCCAGCCCCCGACGGGGCCTCCCGGTCCTCCGGGGCCGGGCGGCCGGGCGGCCAGACCAAGGCCCCCGCCTGTCAGCACCCGGACAGCATTTGAATGTATCGGTGGATACGGGCTGGCCTGCCCGGCGACGCAGCCAGCCGGACTAACACACGCCCGTCCGTCCAGCCCCAAAACAAAACGCGGGACAAAGCGCGCCGCCTGCACCGTGTGCGTGTGCGTGTGTGTGTGTGCGTGTGTGTGTCAGAGCAGGATTATCCGAGCCAGCCCGCCTGAGAAAGGCCGAAAAAAATAAAAAGTGCAACTCTAAACCGCCTCTGGCTGTCGCTGGCTACCGCCACCGCCGCTGTCGGGGAGGAATCTCCACGCCACTGTAGGCACGGCACTGGAGGCGCTGGAGGCACGGCACTGGAAGCTCCAGGCGCCCCCCGCGGCGACTCGCCTTCGAAATTGGCGCCATTCCGCTCAGCCTCTCTCCCGGCGGACTGATTCCGAGAGTCGTTTTCGTCGCTCTGTCTCTCTCGCACTTATAGGGGACGCCCCATGAGTGCGAGAGAGACAGAGCGACGGCCGTCGGAATCAGTCCGCCGCCTCGCACGCGGAGAGCGAAGCATGCCGTGCTCACTGTCAATCCATTATACAGTGGACTACGCCGGAATTTGCGACCCGGTTTCAACTTTTTCAACTTTTTTTCCCCTGCCGGTTCCAGAGTTCCAGCTGACTGGAAAGCCGGTAGCTCGGAGCGGCCGCTCTGATTACAAGTACAAACTGACCGCGGCACCACAAGCACACTCACAAAGACACTCACAGCTTTCTGTTTTACTCCAACTCACACACTGAAAATTCAAGTGTGTGCTGAGTACACACAAAGAGGACTGGTGCCAAAGTGTGTGCCGAGCGCACGCTTGGATTTCCAGTGCACCAGTTTGGCAGTGCAGTGACCGGGCCGTGTTGTGCAGGTGTGCAAGGTGGTGCAGGACGTGCTCAAGGAGGTGGAGGTGCAGGAGCCCCGGTTCATCTCGTCGCTCACGGAGTGCAATGGCCGCTACGAGGGCCTGGACGTCGTCTCCCCCGGCGAGTTCGAGGTGGTCCTCTACCTCAACCAAATGGGTGCGTTCAAAACTGTCCCAAACGGCGGCCGCCCCAGCCCCGATTTGGTCGCCCGTTTTTTCTTATTTTGCCGTTTTCAGTTTGCTGTTTTCGTTTTAATTTTTCGCTCCCAGTTTGCAGCTGGTTTGCAGCCCGCCGGGCGCGAACGACTGACCGTTGACGCTAGCTAGGCCCGCATATCGCTTTCGTTTTCGTCCCCCTGACGTGTGACAGTTGCCCTGACGGAATTAAATAGCTTTCCCTCTCCTTGCTTAAAGCAGGCGTGTTCAACTTCGTGGACGACGGCTCCCTCCCCGGGTGCGCGGTGCTCAAGCTGTCCGACGGCCGCAAGCGCTCCATGTCCCTGTGGGTCGAGTTCATCACGGCGTCCGGATACCTGTCGGCTCGAAAGATCCGCTCCAGGTTCCAGACGCTGGTCGCCCAGGCGTGCGACAAGTGCGCCTACAGGGACTCGGTCAAGATGATTGCGGACACCACCGAGGTGGGTGCCCACACCACACCGCGAACCGAACGTGTGACCCCACCAATGGATTCCTCGTTCGGAGAGCAATCCATTGGTGGGGTCACACGTTCGGTTCGAGTCCCATTTAGCGACGCTGGAGCTCAAAACGCGTCCGGGATTTTTACCGCCCGTCTAACTGCCTACTCCTGCCGCAGGTCAAGCTGCGCATCCGGGAGAGGTACATCGTGCAGATCACGCCGGCCTTCAAGTGCTCGGGCGTGTGGCCGCGGTCCGCGGCGCACTGGCCCATCCCCCACATCCCCTGGCCGCACCCCAACCTGGTGGCCGAGGTCAAGACGGAGGGCTTCGACCTGCTGAGCAAGGAGTCGGTGGCCATGCAGGGCAAGCAGTCCGCCATGGAGGGCGACGCCTGGGTGCTGTCCTTCACGGACGCGGAGCTGCGCCTGCTGCAGGGCGGCTGCCGGCGCCGGTGCCTGTCGCTGCTCAAGACGCTGCGGGACCGGCACCTGGACCTGCCCGGCAACCCCGTCACCAGCTACCACATGAAGACCCTGCTGCTGTACGAGTGCGAGAAGCACCCGCGCGAGGCCGAGTGGGACGAGTCCTGCCTGGGCGACCGCATCAACGGCATCCTGCTGCAGCTCATCTCGTGCCTGCAGTGCCGCCGCTGCCCGCACTACTTCCTGCCCAACCTGGACCTGTTCAAGGGCAAGTCCCCCAGCGCGCTGGAGAACGCCGCCAAGCAAGTGTGGAGGCTCACGCGCGAGCTGCTCACCAACAGCCGCTCCCTGGAGAAGCTGTGAGGACTGCCTCCAGCCGCCTCCAGCCGCCTCCAGCGTTCAGGTCCCCGAGGACGACGGCGGCGCTCCCGGACGCCCCAGGCCGCCCTGGAGCGTCCGGGAGCGTCCTGGAGGGGCCGCCGTCAAAGACTTTGTTAGCTTTTTGTTTATTATTGCCCCTTTGTTGAATCCGAAGAATTAAAACAAGACTGTGAGTGAATAGGGAAGTTGGGTTGTGATGGTGCTGACTTGTCACCCGCTATACTAGTCTCAGCAGACACACACCAGATGGACAGAAGTTGCCTCGAAACTCGTGTCTCATGTATACGTACAAATTCTATATTTCGTTGAACTATTGTGTTTAAATATTTGTGTTACATTTGTGTTTTTATTTCTTTTTTATGTATCGCAGCGGGGTCGACCAAGGTGCGGCTCCGCTGCTTCTTTCCCTTAATTTAATGTAAATAACACTTAAATTTATCTTTATATACTTTGTGACAGAAACGTATACTGTTTGTCGCAGTACGGAGACTGCCAGACGACTTATGATAAACGCATTAAGATTATAAGATGGATCTCAATTCCGAAAGCATGTTATTCCTTAGCACATTAACCCGGTACGCCTAGCAACTAGAAGACTTGTAAAATTTAGACTTAACCTGATTCGTCAGGACGCTTTTTACGGAGACAACTGTCACCACCACTGTTACAGTGCAATACTTGCCCGGTTCGCTGTTGTTAACTTTGTAACAATAAATTTGATTACGAAAGCGAGCGCTGCTTTTGCATTTGAGAGGAGCGTCCCGTACCGGTCCGGCACACAATAGCAAGGCGTCCCCCTCCTTTTTTCACCGCCTTGCAAGGCCCAATCAAACACCCTGGCCGCCATCTTGTTTTTCCGGCTGGGTTCCGGCGTCGCGGTGACTCGGGCGTGACGGAAACGCCCGGAAACGAGTGCCTCCGAGGCGAAAACCAGATAAAGAACCGAGGCGGACAGAGATAGACGGTGGCCGCGAAGCCGCGAAGCGCTGTGAAACGCTGTGAAACGCTGTGAAACGGAACGGGCCTCGTTCAGATTCGCGCCAATTTAATCCCGGGCGATCGTCTAGGCTCAAAGTCCCCGACTCGTTTTCTGGGCCAAGGCAAGCAGTCTTTTTATTTTCTGTTTCATTTTCTTTAACTTTTTGCTTTACTGGGGAGTAGAGCACCTCATCGCGGAAACCTCGCGTCTCTAACGACCCAAAGATCCAGGGTACTGTACGCTCGGGGTTCACTTTTGGTTAGGGCGCTCGGCAAAAGCAACCCTTGGGCATTTTCAAACTGAAATTAATCCCAAACCGCCATGTTCGGACGGTTGGGGCGCTGCGCTGCGCAATGCGACTTACTGTACTACGAGGAGAGTGCCCGCCCGCCCGGCCAGGCCGGCCAGGCCCCCCGGCGGTTGCTAAGCGACCGTCGCCCTGGCAACGCCATGGCAACGCATTGCAGTGGGGCGGACGCGGCGGCCGGGGCGCCTCTTGGGAATAATAAACTCTAAAAATAATGCCGGCGCAGGTACGACCCTGCCAAAATAATTTAGTATAAAAATCGGCCGCAAATTTACAAGACGCGCGCGAGCGCGCATAGTGCTCGCTTACAGCTACCAACAATGTAAACGAAAACTGCTTTCTTGCGATTCTTTGTCTGCTCAAAGTTTGCGCTTCTGCGGTTGTGTGGCGAGCGACCACGGTCATCCGCTCGAATTTAATACGGTAAACAGGTCGTGCGGCCCCTCGGGCGGGCCGCGCGGTAAATTCAAACGTTTAACGAGTCGCGCGACACACACACACACACACACACACACACACACACACAAAACAAAATGCATAAGCACTGTAGCGAAACGCGCCTTGGTGTTATACCTACGTTCCGGCCTATACGCCCTTGGAAAAAGGGGGAGGGGGAAGCTAGGCGGGACGATGCAGTCAATTAACTTGACTCTAGAGCTTCATCTCGCAGGGGAGGGTCCGCCACAAAGGGGGCTCTAACTCACGCGTTCAAGAATAACTCTCCCTCCTCTCCCTCTCCCTCCCTCCCTCTTTCTCTCTCTCTCTCTCTCTCTCTCTCTCTCTCTCTCTCTCTCTCTCTCTCCCGACAGGCGTGTCGCGGGCTGTCGGCGCGTCATTTGTAAGGGGCGGTGTCGCTGGGGCTTAACCAGCACACTTAAAACCGCATCCATCTCCCTGCCAGGCGCCGGCCGAGGCGCCAGCGGCGCCAGCGCAAACACTCACACAAAAAAGAATAATTTTCAAATTTTTTTTAGATTTTTAAGTTGGCAACATTGCTCAAGTTCCAACGCCGCAGTCCTACCTTTCGCGCCTCCACCCCGCGCCTCCCGACACACGGACCGGCAGTACGTACCTGCAACAGAGGGGGAAAGAGTGAGCACATGACAGAGAGAAAGAACCCGAGTCGGCTGTCCGTATGAAAAATCCAGCGGCACAGCGTGCGCAGCGGGGTATCGCGTCAAAGATCCCTCCCCGAAAGGAACGCAACCTGTCTGCAACTTAATCTATTTTAATAACGGAGCGAGTTTACCCACAACTACCGTGCGCTTGATAGTACGAGGGGGTGGCAGGGGGCGTGGCCACACACACGCACACACTGACGGGCAGGCGCACACACACGCACACACCGACAGGCAGGCGCGCACACACGCGCGTTGCACTTTTCGCTGGTGTGGACAGTCCGCACCGGAAGCCGCCGCTTTGGTGAGTCGTCCGGAACATTTCATTACCTGCGTGCGGTTGCCGCTAATCAATAACACGAGGATATCTCCGATTAGCGTCACAGGGCCTCCCTGGAGGAACAGGCCGCCCGCCCCCCGCGCCATCTGGCCTGAAGCTCTGCAACGGCTCGAAAAGGGCCGCCGCCGGCGGGAGTCGAACCCCAGTCCAGTACGAACCGGCCCTGCATCGCAACCACCTGAGCTCTGATCTACCAGGGTCTTGCTTGCAAACCACCAAAGCAAAAAAAAAAAAAAAAAGGAAAAAAAATTGGCCGGTACCGGTACTCGAACCCCCGACCTCAAAGCGCTGCCGCCGCATGATTCCTCGGCGCGGCCGTTTATTTACACGGCGACGTGATGCTTCGCCGCGGGCGGTTCAAAACTGCGGCGATGCACTAAAAGGCTTCAATTTCGGGCCTAATTGCCCTGGCGAGTCCGTCACGCAGGCAGGCAGGCAGGCAGCCAGGCAGCCAGGCAGGCAGGCAGCCAGCCAGGTGCCGGCGGGCACAAGCCAAAACAAACGACAGCCGTCGTTAGCGGCCACTCTCGCCTTCCTGCAACACTGCGCAGCCAAGCGTCTTGCAGCGCAGCCGAAACTAGCAGACATTTCCCCGCCACAAAGTTCACCTTTTAGTTTATTTTAATTAATAAAACAATTTAAACTTTTGTTTAAAAAAAATTAAAAATTAAAAAATAATTATTTGCATTTAGAAAAATTAAGTTTTACACCGTGGTTCATCTTCAAGTCAAACCGCCCTTCGTTCAAAACGAACGGCAGCAGCACGGCCGCGAGAAAAGTGTTCCCCTTTCGAGGCTTAAAAAATGGGCAGTCGAAATCAATTTTCGTTCCCCCGGGTGAAAACAAAAACAAAGGCGGCAATCAATCAGGAGCAAGCGGCTCGGCAGTGTGGTCCCCCTGGAGTTCCTCCTGGAGTTCGTCCTGGAGTTCCTTCCTGAAGTGACGGCACGAGCCAAGCCTCCAGGGCCTCCAGGAGGGGCTCCAGGAGGGGCTCCGGGCAGCAGGTGCAGCACCCCGCCACCCTCACTCGCCATCAGGGCTCAGTTTACCTCTAATCGGCACCCTGGTACTTCATAAGCAAATACGCCCCCACCTGCACCCTGCCGGTGCTGCCCGCCGACACGGTCACCGCCTCGACTTAGGCTTTAATGAGCTCACCCCTCCACAGTGGCTCTGTCTCTCTCGCACTTGCGAGAAGATGTGAGAGGTCCCGTAAGAGTGCGAGAGAGACAGACACTGTTCCGTTCGGAGACAGCCTGCCGGGTATTACCATAACGCGGCTAATGCGTGGGAGGATCGTCCTTCTCACTCACACGCTGTTGTTTCTCTCTCTCTCTCTCTCTCTCTCACACACACACACTTGTTCACAGTCTCGCCTTTCCCGCCAGGCAGAGCGAAATCGATATCCAATCAGAGAAGTAGAGAGCGACATCACTGTACGCGCCTCCCTGCCGCCAAGCGCCAGTGCCGCCAACAACCATCAAAACTAATGCTTCCTCTTTTTTTTTTTCGCGTCCGTCGGAAGTTTTTCAATATTTTTTTATTTATTTATTCGAGTGTCGTTTTTTTTCTTGTTTCACGCTCAAGTGGATGGCACCAGGAGAAGCCGTAAAACCGCTCGCGGCAACGCCCTATGGACGATTACTGTCGCGAGAGAGAGAGAGAGAGAGAGAGAGAGAGAGAGAGAGAGAGAGAGAGAGAGAGAGAGAGGAGGGGGGGGGGAAGTCCCACAAAGATGCGCGCTTAACAAGTGCCACTGACGAGTCACTCGGCTAACGCACCTCTGAAATATCGAGCAAAGTGTCAAAGGGACACAGCAAGGCAAAGGAGGCCTACAAAAAATACCCCAAAAAGCGCTTCGCCCCGCGCGGGATTCGAACCAGCGCTGCCGGGCCACGCGGTGCCGGGGCGGCGGGCGCATGCCATGCGGTTTTATTGAGGAACCAGCTGTTCAGGATGCGTCTATGGGAGTAGTATACATGCCGGGTTGGGGGCGCGATCCCAGACGGGGGAGGGGGGCACTTACCCGGAGGTGGTCGTGTATAGTGGGTGCGCGTTCCGGCAGAGCGGCGCAGCCTTGACAAATGGCCAGATCACATTCATAATTGATCACAACACTTTTTGAATGGAGCCCGAGAGGGCCGTGGAGGCCGTGGGCAGGTAGGAGCGGGCGGGGGCGGGACTGCAAGAAATTCCAAGGCAGAAAAAAGACACACGGTCACGTGCAACTTTCCCCAGTCTGCGTCAAATTCAAATCTAATTTACAAAAATCCCAGGCCGGTTTGTTGGAAACTAATTTTCGACGCGAATTTTCAAGTCTGCGCAACAAGGGGGCTTCCTGGCTGGGCTTGCCTTCGGCGCGCCCTTCGTCGCCTCCTCCGAGGGCTATGAGGGAGTCCGGGGCCTCGGGGACCGCCTCGGGGACCCCGGGGACGGGGAGGGTCTCTGAGTGCGGCGCGCTGTTCTACAAGCTGATGTATCAATAGACACAACAAGCAGGCTGGCGACGCCACGCCGGGCCACGCCGGGCCACGCCGGGCCACAGGAAGCCAAGGTGTTCCTACACTCGGAAAAGGCAAAAAACGGCGTCTTTTACCGCCACGACGAGGACGAGGCTGAGCGCTCCCGGTGTTGGCACTGCCAAGGAATGGCTCCAGGTGTTCCAGAAAGGGAAGCATTCTCGAATCGTTTTATTGGGCCGGACTCCAGGCCGACTCCAGGCCGAGACGCGTGCGTGTGTGCAGGCTGTTAGTCCAACTGGACCACTCCGTCCGCGGCGGCGGCCGGCACCGCCAAGCACCACCAAGCACGCCGTCAGCTGGAGCGCCGTCGTGGCGAGCTCCTCACGGAAAAAAATTACTTAGCTAACCTAGCTAATATTCACTAGCTAGACAGATTTAGCTGCACCGCTAAAAGTTTTATCGTTGCAGCTAATATTTAGCGGTCCCGCTAATTTTATTTAGCTGCTCTGCAAAGCATTTTAGCAAA